CTATTAAATCTCCTATTGGCTAATCCAAGAGCACCTCACTGGAGAGTTCCGTACCAAATATACATTGGCTACTCCCTCAACGTCGCATCGTTGTGGAGAGGGAGGCTGCCACACAATCTAATCTTCAACTGGCTCCTTAGGGCCGACGTGGGTCCGTTCTTCTACATACGTAGTAGCTAGTCTCGTAATTGCTGTTGCTGTTGCTGTATGCAGAAAGTCACGAGTGTAGAAGGCTCTATCTAAACCTCAGGAACAAGAGTCAGTGCAGTGCATATTCTCTCCACCCATTCATGGGATCCTACGAAATTCCGGATTGTCTGTCCGGAGTCATACATGGTGGCTCTGTTTGCGACGCATTATGCATTGTCCAGTTGTGGGTATACGTATTGCATCGCAAATACCCATAGAGTCGTAGTGTCGGTAGTTTGTAGATTCAATATCAATGGTGTAGTATTATCTGCAAGTAATATCAAGAGGGGGGACTCATCTAAGTCTTACAGAGTATTCCCCTCCTAATCTTAGCGGCGAAGGAGAGCATGTGGAGAGCACAGACCTTAGGAGAATGCGGGGAATAGGTACATTTGTCTCTGATAGACTCTGGTGATGGTTGAGGATTACTACAATTTCTATCCACAATTTTCCCTTCAATTCTGTACCTGGTTTAAAAATAGTTGAGGGCGATAAAGACCTAACCACCCTAAGTCCCTCTAGTTCTCGAGATCGCTCATGATAAACTAAGGTATCTGAAATTGGTCCGGATATGTGCCGGAGCCCCTCTCTTCTTAGCATTCTACTACTTCAAACACAACACTGTAGGAATATGAGTCATCTCGGTGGCGTGTTGTTTTAAACTTGCTAATTACTAAATTTTATATTTTTGTCATTGCGTTCCTCCGAGGTGGGGAGTCTTGCGCTTTGCCTATACGCTCTTACTGATCGTCAACCCTTTCACTCGTGTTGAGGATGGCTATGTAGATTTCGAAATCTACCTATGATCTTACGTGTGGAGTAGACGGGTAATCTCTACGCACAGACGTTGATCTACTTTCTTAGTACGTCCGGTTACAATCCGTATGACACGATACACTACACTACTACCTCCGCGAAGACGTTTAGACGTTATGACCTGTGGTTAGAGTAACTACTAGTAACTCAACTAGGTCGGGGTTTCACAACACCGAACTCAACGGTATAAGCTTCTCGGAGAACTGCCCCGCCTTATGGATTCGTAACAATGAACCCCTCTCTGTTGGTAATCTGCTTGGTGAAATAAGAGTAGTACCAGGTCTGCGTTTTATTTTCTCTCCTCTCTTCTTGGAACCCATGACTAATACGCACCAAGTTCTCAACATGGCCACTGCAAGGGCATTTATTATAAGGGCAGATTACCGGTGTGATCCAATATAGATACAATTTAGGGACGCTACCAGCGTGGGTTTTCCCTTGTTTTCCCTTGACTTTACGAATACACCACGACAAGGAACCCGACTACTAGCATAACATTTACATCACATGAATGTCGGCTACCGGGGCATTTTTCGGACCGCAAACTCGACTCTGTTTGCCGCGATTGTCTGCGGGGAAAGTAAATAATGTTACTGCATGTATGATGCCCTTCGTCCTAGCTGCATATTGATTCCTGATGCTTAAAATATTGCTTTTACTATCAACACTATTCCATATTGCGAATAGAGAAGGTCACATTGTGGCCTCGGAAGCAACAACTGTTCTGGCTCTATGAAGGCTGCTAATAGATATGTTGATGAAGGAGTGCAAACCCTAGTGACATTTCTAGTTGAGCTAATCGGATGACTAGGTAGAATTCACTGCGCTAGTAGCCTTACTTCTTGGCCTTGGGCTGCTTGGGTTGTTGCACCTTGGTATGATGGAACTTGCCGTCGGTAAGACAACCGACACCCAAGTAAATCTTCAGGAAGCTATTGCTCGGTCATTTAACTGAAGAAAGAAAAAAAAATTGAATAGCGCGCTTCTACCTTCAAAATTGTTAGGTGGGTAAGGAGATCCCTGTTGCCAACCTTGACGACCACGCGGCATAATTACGACAGCAACAAGCGCGACAAGCGTTTCGCTAGAAGCTAAAGACGGGATTTGAAGTACATAAATGATTGCTTGCATTTCGAAAATTTAACGTCTCCTAGAAAGGTGGATACTGGCCTAGGTACATATGTCATGTACGTAGCTGCATAGCTTAGGTGCCCGACTTTTATGTAGAAAGAAGAGCTAGCAAGGTAATCGATTACGGGCCATGCACTCAAAGGTTTCCGGGCTTCTAGCGTAGACCCACGATATCCTATTTAGGAAAAAAAGAATCTTTGGGGAATCCTCACACATATAAGTACCTAAGGTAGTAGTAATAAAGAAATAGTTAATAACAATGACCAAATATGAGACGGTTACCGCTTCGCGTACCTTTTAACGTGTGTGATCAACTACGCAGGAAAACTACCTATACGTAGGAAATGATGTAAATAGCAAACTGTTATCGTCTAGCATCTGCAAAGCATGTCCCATCCTGCAAGTTCCCACTGCGGGAGCAGTGTGATTTACGCTTAAATGCCTCTCTTAAGCTGCGCTGCTATACTGCAATGCAGGTGTTCGTTCGGCAGAGTCAGCTGCAAGCTGCAGGTGCTAGTACCTAGTGGGCTACCATTTGCATGCATAACTACGGGCTACGCGTATGTGCTTTTTTTTATTAGTCGCCGTTAAGGTGTGTAGTTGACATGTTTCGAAACAAAGGGGTTCATTGGATAGTTTATTGGGTCATCATCCCTGGAGCTCTCCAGTCCCAGTGAGAATTACAAGCAGATCAAATCTGGGAAAGCTGTTATAGATATCAGGTGTTATAATGACAAGGAATATGCACTTCACCGGTGAGGAGGCTTAAATTTTTCTATTGTATCGGTGGATCGTGGCTTAGTACCTAGGTACCTAGCTGAAATGGGGTTGGCACCTAGGTACGGATTACTTGAAATTGCACTGCGGCGAAGATAATTACTGCTGTTTACAATGCCTACCTAGGTCACTAAGTAGGTAATATATCGCTATCAATCCTTGAAGCTTTCCGGACGTTAGGTAATCGCTTGCATTAATTGCTTCCTTTGAAAGTATAATTAATCAACTGGCGTGTTGGGTAGAGCATACGGTATCTCCGAGGTACCGGCATCTAATGATGATCTCGAAAAATAACAATATTGGTTGTATTATACATATGTAACTGAGAGGGTAGTGGTACTTTTCGCTATCATTTAACGAATGTGATAGTAGAATTCTTCAGAGACCTCACTTGTACCGACTTATCGAGCTAACCCTCACCTTAGTAAGGCTACCAAGTAAATAGGGAAAGGTTGCCAGTCTAAAGGAACCAGGCATCTGAAACAATGGGGCTGATTGTTACTTCAGAATCGTCAAGCGACTCGCGATTTGAGGTTGAGTTTCGACGATTTCCCCTGAAACTGTCTGGATCGAGGTCACTTCGTGTGATACCACGACTTCGGAACGGAGTCCCGGTCCTTTCTAGGGGACCTACTATCTAATGCTACGGTACATCGATACACAAACATTAAGAAGTTGTTGAAAGGCCTAGTTACTACGTAAAAAAACATGGAGGAATTGTTGTTTACCAATTGAGATTAGGTTGATCTATCACCATCACCGTCACCATCGGTCTCATTTTCAAACAAGACCTTCACGTTAACAGCGTGCAATAAGTATATAATGCATATAATAGATACATTATCATCGCCGATTTTCCTGTAATACGATTTATTGTACTTCGTAGTCTGTTTACATTTAAGCTTAAAAAGAGCAAATGACCTTTAAGTTACTCTTAAAGACTTGTATATATAAAAAGGTACCAAAAAGTTAAATTCTCGTTTAAAACATTGGCCGGTTTGAATTTATATCCCCCGTTGTCGCCAGCATTTCTTTTTATTGAAACTTCGCTTTACCTACGACGCGATCCGGTTTAAGTCTCCAAGTCCAATTAAGCTCTTTTATTGCGTTTAAAAGATTTGGTACACCAAGTATAACCCTTAGTGTTTAAACTACGCATAGTAAAGTTTTTAAGATTGGTATATTAATAAATATTCATCGTTTAACCTAAACGTACGTATTAACTTTTTATAGTTAATGGCGTAGTAAAATATTTCTCTGTAAAACTGGTTGACTCATTACCATATGCCAAGATTGCCGCCACTAGAATCTCTACTACTATTAAGCTAAGAGAGTCTTCTGTTTTCATGACTTAAATACTCAAGGTACCTAATTAGATGTGATGAAACGTTAAGAGGTTTACACACTACTGTTCCCATCTATGTAATACCATACCACGCCATTTAGATCATACAGAACCATACTATGTAGAAGTAGACCATGTCGTGCTGGTTCTCGTCCAGGATACTTACCCCTCTTCTCCCCCGCGGCCACCCAACTCTCGCATCTTTATTCATATACACTTAAGAAGATTCAATTCCAAGGTATCTCTTAGTTATATCGTAAATCAATTTGGACGCTGATATGCGTAATGTTAATACATAAGTACCTATTAGAAATTTATGGTTACCTATCTGTATAAATGTATACTAAAAAGGCATGCATGCAAATACCTTAAGTACCTAGATTAGGTAGGTACATCCAAGCCTTAATATTTGGAAAATGACTAACTTCTGGGGTACATATTTAAGCGCGGACAAAATATGAATCTAATTCATAACTTTATGTTTACCGAAAGTCTTTACCTAAGGTACCTGTTATATTTTACCTATTAATACGTTGCGCGTCTAAGTGAACCTTAAGCACGAGGGGTTTACTATTGTTCTATATGCATACAACGAATCTCAGTACCTTACCCATGTCGTTCAATTGTCGGCAACGCTGCTAATGCATTATTATTTTAAACCCCGGAACCTGGCAATGCCCTTTCTCTTCTAGTGTACGTATAATCCATGATCCCTGATCCCTGAAGGTAAACCCAGTCTATTATGTATCTTTTGGCGTATCCCTCCCCCTATGTAGTCAGGTATGTATGTAGTGTGTAGTGTAGTAGCTGCCATCTGCATGCGCATTTAGGGAGCCAGCGGTATCTTGGCCGGTAGCCGGGGACTTGTTGATGACAAGCCTATCGTAACTATCTACATGTAGTGTAGGCTAGGTCTCTTAACGATAGGTACAGGGGAAGTTGACGGGTCGTGAGTACCTAAACCATCTGTGCTGAGAATTGACAAGTTAAAAACGAAAGAGATAAAAAAAAAAGGGAAGCTTATCCTCGCCGTTGATATTGTCTTCTCTATTATCAATGTTACTACATACTTCTCCCACCACCATCTATTATAGATTCTCCAATAGGCACAGCCTTCTATCAGGTCTACTAGGCATTAAGTCACATCTCAATACTATTTTAAGCGACGCTCTGATACAGAACTTCTTATTCTGTATTTGACGTCGCAACTGTCGGCCTGTTCGGTAGAGACACCCGAGACAACTCATTGAAGTGACCTAATGTTTATATTATAGCAGGCTGATTTTATGGTCATCCGTCTGAAAGACTCGCCTGGCCAGTCCCCAGAATCCCACGCCAGCAGATTCCGCACATACGCACAGCACACACTTGTGCATACCGATTGCCCACGGACTTTGATCAACACGGACTTATCCTGACAACACAGTTCGCAAGTAACGGACGAAACTACTGAAGGTGTCACTGCAACAACCCTCACATCTTACTTCCCGTCATTATACCGCCACTAGTCTTTTTTGGAGTATTCCTAACTCCAGAGCTTTCGGGCTTCAAGGGATCGCCGGTCTGTTCTTCCCCTTGCGATCTTGTCAATTTGTATGACATATATCCGTCGCTCCAATTTGGGATGTGCTCGAGCCTTCTCCTTTCCCTTTTGCGATCATCACCTAGGACTGCATAACTAGGAAAGGAAGGCATCCCATCGTCATATAGCCTTCCTATTGCTTCAGGGAGTAGTAACCAAACTGCGATAATACCTTAATCCACGGGTGACGGGATTCTCTAGTCTACCTATACGATAGACTTCACTTAATCCGTCGGCTACAACCCAGTTAGCATAACCAGCCGCCCTGGAGGTTTTGGCCCTAGGTGCTCGGGCTATATTGCAACCTTCTCCCAAGCTTTTGTGGCTTAGCCCTACCTACCCTCACGTTAGTTTTGATTACTATCATCTCTTGACAATAGGGTTGGAATTGGTTTCTGCTATAACCGTAGCAGCCTCGACTCCCGACGAAGATTTTGAGGTCGCCATCAACAACAGTCTAGTTCCCAACTCTTCGTGCTACGAGGTGGACCGTGTCCCTAGGAGAGAAAAGTAAGACGGCTTCACGGCCTTTTTCGTCGGCAACGAGACAGTGGCAGTAAGGCCCCTAAAGGGTTAGGTTTGGCCTCAACTGCCCGAATCTTGAGGGAGCCTATCGACTAACGCCGAATATGATTTTGACGAACTGAACCTTGGCTTAGTCTACCGAGTGAATACTTCTCTGGTCAGCAAATTCAATCCTTAGCTGCTATTGTTGGGGACTTGTCCTCGTTGCTAAATTCTCTCCTCGATTTGAAGTCTGAAGTCTGAATCCCGGGGCTTAGATGTTTGTGCACAAGGGCTCTTAGTTTACTCGTAAGTTAGCGATCTCCATTTCCTAAATAACGGCCTAATTTTTCTCGTACTTACCTAGGCATCCTGTTGGATGATATCTGGCCTCATCCTTAGTTGATCTCGGTCTTTTTGCTAACCTTTCTTGTTTGTTTTCCAAGTCTTACACTTAGTTTTGTTTTATGATTTTATCCGCCCAAGCTTATTTCCCATACCTATTACTCAAAGTCCAGTCGACTTCAGATTATCGCTCCTTTGTAGCGCTGAACTCTCGTTATCGTGTATTAAATCTCGTATATTTATTCTGGCCCCCCTCTGCATCTGCATGGGTTTCTCATATCGGCTTGCACCGAATATCTGGAACCAAAACGTCCCCACGCATAGATTTCAATCTCGGCGTCGCATTGAAGATTCCGCTTACATACTGTTCCGAACAAGGGTATCATCCACACTTGGGGCTGCCTCTGAACGACCCACGCTATCCCTGTCTCCTCGCCTTAAGGGACTCCTGGGTCTGGTTCCACATCACTCATATACCTTGTGCTTCTTGGTTCGCACTGTAAGACATATAAGTAGTCTCGTTCGCACACTTACACTACTACTGGTCGCCGGGTCCTAGATCTTGGGGTCACCAGAGAGATGGAGTTGATGGAACTTGTCGACAACGAGCCGACGGCTCGACCCTTTCAGTGCGACTGGGCGGGGTGCAAAAAGGTACGTGCAGCCATTTCCTGGTCATGCATTGTCATCGTCACCGTCGCCATAGTTGTGATCCGAGTTACTTATACGAACGCAGTGTTTCAACCGGAAGTCCGACCTCCAAAGGCATTACCGGATACATACGAATGAGAGACCGTACTCCTGTAAAACAGAAGGATGTGGTAAAAGCTTCATACAACGGAGCGCCTTGACGGTCCATATCCGCACTCACACCGGCGAGAAACCTCATCAATGTCAACATGCTGGATGTGGCAAGCGTTTCTCAGATGTAAGAACTTGATCGAATCTCATGGTTTTAAGCAGACCTGCTAACCCGTTTAGTCTTCGAGTCTGGCTCGACATCGACGCATCCACACCGGCAAACGGCCTTATAAGTGCGCTCACGAGGGTTGCCTCAAAAGGTAACGCAAGATTTATTGCCCTCAGAGGTAACTGCTAACGCGCCTTGTAGTTTCTGCCGGAAAACAACGATGGTCAAACATCAGAGGCGTTCCCACCAGAGGGGTGTCCATTCAGAGATGGAAGATTTCTCTTCTGAGTCGGACAGCGGCGAGTCTCCGTCTACTCCTAAGCAACCCGGCTTGTGGCCAACAGGCAACTTGACAAGCGGGCTTCCGAATTTGCAAGACCACACCGTCCAGCGAGCATCATCCTTCGCCGACTTTGGTCAAGTAAACCAGTACGACATGTCGCAACAGTACGGCCACCGGCACAGTATCTCCGGTGGGGGCGTCCAAGAATACCATAGCGAAATGGTCCGGTCGTTTCAACACCCCGGACTTCAAGGGCTTCAACAAACGGCCAGCATGCCCCAGCATCCTTACTTTGTGACAGACCAGAACAACCCTGGCATCGCGACAATGAACACGAATCCGATACCACAGTACCAGATACCGAGGCAGCAACCTGAGCGGCTCCCAATAGAAATTCCGTACAATGCGGCGGGGAATATGATTAACTCAATCCAGAGTAGCCCTGCCAGCTTCACGACTGTAATTCCGGGCCACAGCCCATCAGGTCATGATAGCTACTACACGCACCAGTCTCCGCATGCGACGACGTATTCGCTGAACACAACGCCTATCATGGAGCAACCCATGGCGCAATTCCCTCAGCAAGTCCATCAGCAGGTCAATCAACCGATCCATCCTTCCCAGCCGGTGCAACACCAGATGCCTCAGATGCCCCAGGTGCCTCAGATGCCTCAGGTGCTTCAGATGCCTCAGGTGCCTCAGATGCCTCAGATGCCTCAGGTGCCTCAGATGCCTCAGATGCCTCCCATGCCTCCCATGCAACAAGTTCAGCAAGTCCAGCAAGCCCAACAGGCTGAGCAAGCCCAACAGGCTCAGCAAGCCCAACATGCTCAGCAAGCCCAACATGTTCAACAGGCTCAACAGGCTCAACAAGCCGCCCGACATGCTCAGCAAGTTCAGCAAGCTCAACAGGCTCATCAGGTTCAAGATCAATACCAGCCAGCGCCAACGCAACAGGAAGAACATTGGTATAACACAATACCTTACCAACAACCGGTTGAGATTCCTACCATCGGTCAAGTACCGTCTTTCGGGACTGCGCAAGATTACCCGTGGCTCGTCAAGCCGGATTTTGACGAGGACACGTCGACGCAGATGCCGAGTTCAAGAATAAATGACTTGTGATTCGTCGAACTCGGCATATGTAATCCGCATATTTCCGTTCTCTTTGCGAATGTCTCTCGAGTAATTACTCGGTAGGCGTTTTTTTATTCTAATTAACAACCTTAATAATTCGGTAACGAGCCCCCGACCTGCTCTTGTATTATATTGTCTCGTTTATTGTTTCCAAGTCAAATTAGGATATACCACCAGGGTGGTATGCAGGACCAGATTATGTATCGACTGAGATTCGATGGCTATGAGGGGGTAGCCTTTTGTGATGACGGCAGAAGCAATGCCCTTGCATTTGCCGTTCCACTGAGTTAATGGGCTGTCTATTTCGCCGTACAGGCGGCTACTTCGCATGAGTACCCAGTGTACGGCTTTGCTCCGGTCGACTATCATCCACCTTTGACAACCGATGCCGTTCTAGACAACGTCACAATATACCAGTGGACAACTTCGAGCCGATTCGCCGTACATCTTTTTCATGCGCCATGGTCGAATTCAAGATGCCATGCCACGTCACGACACCGTTCTCTTATTATTCCCTAAAAGTCGTATAGGCCATTTGATTATTCCCTTTCGTCCAGTATGTATGACGAACGGCCATGTCATTTCTAAGTCTTTTGTATTTCAATAATTCCGTTAGCGATAATTAGGAGGATGGGCAACTCCAAAGCTCCGATGGGTCCCGGAAACTATGCCGATTACACCAAAAGCCCCTAAAAGTTGATTTTGCACCGGGACCCAAATCAACTTTGACGATGTCCCGACTATCCTTTGACGATTCAAAACATAATGCCGTTCACGGTTATCCGACCATCCTCTCCAGTTCGCTGAGACGGAGGGACGTGCCCAAGCCCGAGAGGAGATATAAGAAAAGAGCGGCAATGGAATTGGAAGACCGTGCATGGAAGATGGGATATCATCTGGATTTTAACTGTAATAATAGGGTCGGGAGGGGCTTTTTGTTTTTTTCTGGTTTTTTTTTTTTATTGGGACGCGAGGGTTTCCGGTTTTTGCGCTATTATCGAGTATGAGGCGTGTCTTGTATTATTGTTGCAAGGTGTTATCCGCGAGTATTATCCGCGATTGATAACTGGGGCGTTGGAGGTCAAAAAACAATGCGTGTATGATAGCGATGCGTAGTGTTGTTAGAATTGTATCTAATAGTGTTTGTCACTGGCTAGTGGTTTCTTCTGAGTGATATATCTTTGAGTGATGGTATATGTTTGCGAGGTAGTGATGAGTTCAGATCTTGGCTGGAACTATAGAGACTGTAATGTTGGTAGTGGGTAGATGGGGCAGAGAGAGAGTGTTGTAAAATCTTTAGAAACGATCAGAAACGATTAGAAACGATCAGAGACGAAGTGTGTTTATGAGAGGTTTATGAGAGGTCAAACGAAGAAGCAAGGCTTGGTAGCGCCATATTTTTTCTCGACAGAAGACACACCGAGCCCTTTTAAACTCCCTTTTAAACTTCATATGCATGTAAAAGTCCGCGTAAATAAGGTAAAATATACCTGGTCACATTTGCAAAAATGCCAAAAATGCCACCGAGCTGAAATGCGATCCCGCATCCTTCGAACACTCGAATGGTCCTTAGATCTAATATATCTAATACTACACTGTAGACTTCATTTAGGTATGTGGTATGTGGCGTTAGCCCCTCCACGTGCGAAACTAGAGATCCGCCAGGAAAACATTTTGCATCTACATAGTCGCATTCACTACGTTGCATTGCATGTCGTACCTACATCCTTACATCCTACATACATGATACGGATCCCTATTTTTCTTGCGCAACGGAGCGAGTGAGAACCTTCTTTTTAACAAGTTCTTTTAACAAGATGAGTGCCCAAAGTCTAATACATACATGAAAGTTATACGATGGCGCTTAAAAAAAAAAGGGGGGGGGGGGGGGGGGGGCTTAGGTGTTAATCGGGGACAATAATGATATAAGTTTAAAAAAAAATACAAAACCATTAATTTAAATGGTTTATGCGATA